ATGATGGTAATGAATAAATGACGACAGTTGATGATGATGATGATAATGATGGTAATGAATAAATGATGACAGTTGATGATGATAGTGATGATAATGATGGTAATGAATAAATAATGAATGTTGATGATGATGATGATTATGATAAATACCTTGTTAGATAACTGACTAATTGATATATATTCTAAATTTCTGAGGTTGGGGGGGGGGGGGGGGGTAATTATTAGGTTTGTAAAGGAGGACTACCAAAAAGATATTGTTAAAGCACAGAAACCACATAGCCGGACCCTCTCTGACCTATGAATTATGAACACTCCATAATAATTAAGAAAACATCTTATTTACAGAGTACGGAGATAAAGATAATGATGACTTGAGAGAAAGATTCAAATTAAAGAAGGAAGACTTTCCTTATTACATGCTCTTCCTTCAAGATCAAGAACAACCAGTTCACTTCAAAGGAGAAATCAAAGAAGATGCATTGACAGCATTTGTGTCGAAACATGCAGGGCTCTGGATAGGTAATAATTTAGCTAGAAGGTGTATAAAGCCAGGAAAATATCCATGTCACTGCTACAGAGGGAATATTAAAGTCATTTATCACAAAAAGCCCTAGAATGTTTGCTAAAAACAGTATTTCTTAAATTATACCCTCCTCAGACCCTCCTAAAAAGGGTCTAAAATGTTCTGAGCATCGGAAAGATTTATCCAATCGCGACACTGCTAACCGTTTACCGCTAACCGCAAGGGATCAGTCCCAGAAACACGGAAAAATACTCAGCATCAATGAAATTCAAATATGGCGGCTATTTCAGCAACAACTTCGTCATGACGCCTTGCTAAATATCGAAAGTTTGGCGGAAAACGCCTGACGTGAAACTGCAGTTTGAGGTTTGCGTAACCTAAAAGAACATCTTGCTAAAGGTCTTTAATATATAAAAAAATTTCTGCGATCTAAGTTTTAAGTTTTGAAATATTCTAGCTAATTTGGTGAGACGGCGTAGCAAAGGTAACTAGGGGAGTCGGGACCATGAATTCTAGCCCGCTCTCGACATTATAGTACGCACTTTTGACAGTTACGCTTTATCAGGAGCATTGCGCGCATCATGCATTCATTATGTGCCCATGTGCAGTGCAGCCTTCCAGTAAAGGGGTTATGATCATAGACAATGTAATGCGATACTTTGGTACGCCATTGGGAACTATATACTTTGTTGGATTTAATGAAGAAAAGGTTGCTGCGTGCAACATGCCTCTGGCCTGCACCACCTTTCTAAGTACTCTATAACTTCCTAAAGTCAGTGTTCATGTAGTTTTTCCTGTTATTTCTGTTATCTCCAGGTTTACAAGGATGCGTCGAAAAGTTCGATAAACTGGCAGAGAAGTTCCTCAATAGCGCGATAACAAAAGCAGATGAAGTGATATCGGAAGCTGAAACACTACTTAAAGAAACAAAGCACAAAAAATACCAAACTGCTGGGGATATCTACGTGAAAATCATGAAAAAAGTCAAAGAAAATGGCGAAGATTACATTAAAAATGAAGTTTCTCGGGTAAACAAACTTTTAAAAGATAAAATTACTGAAAAAAAGCGAGAATTGTTCACGATTCGACTCGATATCTTGACGTCGTTTCAGCACTTTATTTCGAAAAAGAAAGACGAACTGTAGAGTTCAGTTTTTAATCTTTAAAGCAAAAAAAGAGCATTAGTTTTGGCCACGAAAAATCTATTTAATCTACCTTTCTAGGTTCACCTCAGATTAATAACCAAATCTGATTTATCTTCCTTTGTTTTGGTAAAGCTTTAAATATGTTTTTGTACAATTTTTAAGTATGATAGTTCGAAAGTAAGTGATAAAATAAACTCTAAAAAATCACTCAACTCTTACGAGTAATTCTTTTAAAATTCATCAGAGTGCATACAAAGTGGAAAAAAAGAAATTCTTGAAGTATATCTTATATTTTTTAGCAGGTTGAAGTCAGAATATTATAATTTCTGGAATGAGTCGACACTTTGCTTTTCAGCTGTTCGTTCCAAAACACGAGGTAGAATAAAATAATTGAAACCTTTCTCATTTATATTAATTTTTCCATTGACCACACCGACAAAAAAAAAAAAAAAAAAAAAACGAAATACCTTTATTTTCAACCTTTTTTTTAACCTTTTCATCAAAATTTTGAAAACGAAACGAGGTGTTTTCCCCAACTTTTAGCGTTTTTTGGGAGGGAAATTTGTTGAGGAATTGGACATTTTTGAATTTGAATAAATCAGTTCAACCACAAAATGAATTAGATTCGAAAATTTTAAGGTTTTGTTTTCGGTATATTCGAATCAAACAATGCCATACTAAATAAAAACAACGGCCCGCCCTACAGCTGAAAACTGTTACTATTTGAGAACCAGCTAGTATTAAATTCCCAAATTAAAGATATTACGTCTTGAGTCATTTAGCTTTCTCTTCCAATGCGTAAATATAACACAGACTTCAAAATTTTAAAGCAACTTTATCAAATCTTCAAACTTTTCATATTAAAGTGCTTTTGGGTTTTTTCGACATGAATAATTTATCACCAAGCTCAAATTGGTTGTTTTTGTACAGAAATTTGAATTAGCATTGTTTTCGTAAAGCTTAACTTTTTATTTAGAGTGAGAAGTCGTTGTTTTTAGCAGCGTGTCGAAATTATGTAGGAATCCTTCCGTATCCGAACACCAGCACTCTATATTGACATTCCGCGGTCGGGACGTTTAGTTATTGAGCTAGTTAGCTTATAAAGCGTTGTAGGGTTTTGTCAGCACCTTTTGTGCCCCGCAGACGGCTTCTACAAGGAGAGTGCCCTGGAACTCGTAGTATATGATACTCTAGATGTCGATCACTGACGTCGGAGCTGAAAAGACGAAGTTTAAAATGGCTTTATCAGCTGAGAATACACAATATAGACTGCTTTGGTTTGGATGGTTCAGCTTTCGGCCAAAATGGCTCCAGTTTCTAAATACTTCAAAGTGGTTTTTATTTTTCATTTGCATGTATTTTTTTACTCAAAGTATAGTGGTGAATGGAGTATATTCTGTGTCTATTACTACGATAGAGAAGAGATACGGCTACTCAAGGTGAGCGAGCATTTGGACTACTTTAAAAAATTATCTACACTTATTTGCTTTACTAATTCGACATGATATCTGTAAAAAACGAGATAAACTGACCCATAAGACCGCAACATGACTTAGCTATACTTGTACAAACACTCATCGAAGACAAATAAGATTCGTATTAACTAGTGTATCGGTCATATTAAGTTATCCCTTATATCACAAACACAAGTTCAACAGTTACGCTTCGAATTAGCGGTTTAAAAACCATGGATTACACAAAATAACCAAGTGTGAAAGGTGCTTTATCATTATTAGTCGTATCTTAGAGGTGTTTAGTGCGTTTATTAGTCGTTGTGTTGAGGGCAAGACGGTAATTCGAGTTCCCTGTCATCCCTTGGACATTTACTCGTCTGTATTACTTCACACTCTATTGATTCTCTTAGCAGTCTATAAGTTCACACAATAGCTAATTAATAGACCCTCATTGCGGCTATAAACCCCTACTACGGGAATATGAACATTACACAACGGATATGTGGTTTTATCTTCCTATATTTTATCATTGGATTTTCACAGCATGGGTTCAAAAACCCCTCTAGCAGCAGTCCCTTTAGTATTTGTGCAAGACGAAGCGAGACCGGGCGAGTATCAGATCTGTGACACTCAGGGTTCCTAGCAGGGTGACCTAAAATTTAGCAAGAAAAATTATGTAATTTGAGTAATAATTTAGGATTATCAGCACCAATTTAACAAAGACAATCTTATAATCTTCGATGATTTTGGAATTTTAAGGTTTGCACTTGGAAGTTTTGCAATCGGACAATATTGCAAACTGTTTCTCCTGATAGCTCAAAGTTAATCTAAAAGTTAAAACGCAGGATTTCACTGATGATTAAGCCATGAATTGACCATCCACAATGGTGAATAGCACGCGGACAAAAGTTTATTGATTTAACTATTGAAACAATTAGATAAGATCAAAAAGGACAAGCTTTGCTTCTTTAGATGTCGGCAAGTCTTCCCGACACTTGAATTAGCAAAAGTCATAGTTTGAATATTATCTGACCCTAAAAAGGTAACCGATAATCGATCTGCTTTTTTATCTTGGGAAAGTTGCAAACAGATGGGTAGTTCAAGAACCTTGTAGCCATCCAGCATGGAACATTTTGGAACCGGAACTTCATTGACGATATATTGACTCTCAAATCCCTCAAAATCCGGATTAGCTGAAAATCTTAAATATTTGAGTCTTGGCGGGTATGTTAAAGTTCATTGAAAAGAATCGTTCGTTCAGTAAAGCACTTCACTGCAAAGGAGTACGTACGAAATGTTATTTCCTTCATAAATAATCGAGCAATGTTTTCCTAAGTGTGCAAAGGTTTTCTGATAATTGTTCGTTTGTGTAGTAAGGTTGCAAAACTGCGACCTGCACTTGACTTTAGATACAAAAGACATGGCCAAAAATACATTATCAAATACTTCAAAAGAATACAGAACTAACTTATATCCGTGAAGTCTTTTCTCACTCGATTTAGGACAGTTTTTTAGCAGTATAACAGTATATGAAATCAGTGTCTCTTCCCGCCAAAGCAAGGAATAATGCTCAAGAGAATGAACATACCTTGCGCATTATATATCTATTAAGGAAGGCTTTTATTTAAAAGAAAACGCTGTACAAAAATATTTTTCTTTTCATCTCGTGACTGGCAATGACGCATTCTTAGGTGCGTCGCGACTGGGTGAACTAATCAAAAGCAAGGAATCATTTTCGAAAGAACGACCATACCTTGCGCAATATATATACTCATTCTGGAAGACTTTCCCTAAGAGAAAACGCTAAACAAAAGCATTTTTTACTACATCTCGTGACTGGGTCGGAACAGTAATGACGCATTCCTAAGAACGTCGCGACTGGGTGAAGTATTAGTCAAAAGCATCTGTCTAAACCCGGTCAAACTAATTTCAGACGTAGTCTTTCTTCGATAGGGTATTTTYGTGAAGTAAAGATCAGACTGTTAATTCCTCAAGAATTACTTCTTTATTTAACTACCCAGTATCCATGTTGGTCCGGCAGTAAAATAGCTATAGAACTTTAGTTTTTACAGCAGAAAAATACTGCAAATAGCTATCGCGGTTAGGTCCGCATCACCATTCATCGAGTACAGTCATCTTGTAAGATCATTTCTATGCAAAGCTATTGACGATGTACTATTCAGTACGTGCGATGTTTTCGAATCTTTGACCTCATACATGCACCGTCACCAGGTTGGCCCAACCTCCTCCCAGATTTTCTTTCTCCTTCCTTCTCACGCCTTTCGTTTCCTTCCTCGTCCATCTGATAACAAATGTATGAACAAGTCGGATGTGGTTGCCCTTGTGATTGGGTCAATTGTACAGTACAAAAACAATGTGAAGCCATTTCAATGTTATATGGCTAATTGTAGGTACCGTGTACGTGCTGTAGGTCACTCATGGTCCCCCTACTCATATCAATCAAGGTTGGTGTAGAGGTAGTACACTCATCTCTGGGGTCAATTCCCAGACTCCCCATCACATATTAGTAGAGTTTCACGTCTCTCCCTTGATTAAGTTTTTTTCCAGGTCGTCGGGTTTTCATCCTTCCCCAAAACCTAACACCCTAAATTCCAATCCGATCCGTGAATTAGCCTTGGGTCAGACGATAATTGAAGATTTTGAAGTTTTATTAAAAGCGCTAGACTAAAAGTAATGCTATTAAGTACGATGTATAGACAACGCGGTTCAATAACAAGCTTGATGTCAATGAATACTCAAAGCTAGTACGGCTAAGTAAAGTAACCGCTTTAGACTTAGTGTACCCAGTTTTTCCCACTGAAAGGAAATCCGTTCTACTAATGAAATCAAATTCAATCATGCTCAATATTTACGAATCGGAAATAACCAAATCCGTTGCACATTTACTAGCTGTGATTTATAGTTAGTTTGTTAATAAATCGAGTTATTTTGGTAAATATATGTCGCCTTACTCTCGCCGCTGTGGTCATCATAAGTTTGTTTCCCGGACTCGCCCCTGTGGGTAAAGTAGAGTTGCTTGTTTGCGGTTCTCTTTCGTTTTTCTCCCACCGCAAACTACAAATAAAGCATTTATTTCGGCTTCGCTACAATCCGCCTTTGCTGTAGCAGCCATTGTACCAAGCAACATGACAGAAGTCAAGAAATTTTATTTTTCTTTTTCTTATGACGGAGGTTGTCAGGGGCGTTGTCAGGATTTCATCCAGGATTTCTGCATTAATTAATAAAATTTTGGTGCCTCCCTCCCTACGCTAGTGGAGGTTGTTATATAGCGCATTATCACATCGTCTTAATGCGCTTTACATTTTCTGACCAGTCGAGGACTTGAAGGACTGCATACTGAAGAAATTATTATTTCTTAGTTCTATGACAGGTGTGTTGACAAGTTGCTACGATGTTGCAGCCTTTCTCCTTACTCCTCTGGTTAGCTACCTCGGTGCCAGACGACGAAAGCCCAAGTGGTGTGGTGTGGGGCTGTTAGTCATGGGTGCTGGTTTTTTCATCTTTATTCTACCGCATCTGTTCTCTGGAAAATATATAGCTGGTAAGTTTGATTGTGAATCAAGGATAGCGGTAACTAGTGCTCTAGTCTCTCACCTCTGTGGTTCAATTCTTGTACTTAGCATCACATGTAAGTAGAGTTTGTTAGGTCTCTCTCTTGATTCGAGTGTTTTGCTCCAGTTTCTCCGGTTAATTAACTTTCTTCCCTCCGCAAAACCTTACACGCAAATTTCCAATTTATTCTTTGTAGTTAGCCTTTCTACGACTTAGATCAGCCCAGAGGTCGTTTAAGATATTGTTATACGTGGAGGGCTGGATGGCCCGTAATGCTAGGAATAAGCTTTTGTTTTCTTTCCCCAGGGGGGAACCAAAACAAAAACTACGCTAACAATCGCTAACAGTAGGGTAACTCTAACTTCAAGTATTAAAACAGGCCCTAACTCGCAAAGTCTTTACAAATATTTATGGATCTGTTCGCAGTCAGTACTTCAAAGCTCGGTTCAATTTGTCATGCAATATTCCTCAGTATTTGTCACGGATATTTCTCTCTCAGTATTCAAAAAAAATTAGCTTGTATACGTAATATAGTATTGGTTGTTATTGTTGACGCGCATCAATTAATCTACAGCTAAACGTACTTTCAGATGCAGTCACCTGCGGCGCTCATCTTTGATTAGGTCACGCAATATGTTAAATAACATCAAGGTCACTTTATCGACCTGGATGGCCTGGTAATTGGTCGTCCACGCCTTTCCCGTTTTACTTTCGAGGCAGCCAAATATACTCACTCGTTTCTTGTGGGTTAGTTTTACGTCATGCACACGGTATGTGTGGTTAAATATCTGCCGACGTACAGACAGCACCTGACGTCATAGTGACGCAGACTCCGCCGGCAAAGTTCAATGTTAACCACGCAGCGAACAAGCCTGGTAACGTCTGGCGACAAAACCAAAAAAGCTCGTTCGGAAGTGACTAATTTTCCGTGGTTAGGAAACCACGTAGAATAACTGATACTTGTTCTGACATGTTCGGAAGTATTCTAGTAGATTTTAGATGATTAGTGTTGTCATAGGACGGGTAAGTTATTAGGAACGCGGATTGTCTACTGCACGTAGAAATGTTCAGTAGATTTAAAAACAGCCTAAAAACGTTGACATGGTCAATAAGAGACAAAATTCTTCGCGCACATGATTGAGTCCCGAACCCAGCGACGGATCTGGGGGAGGTTCATTGTCTGTGTACTACCCCATACTTTCCCCCTTTTGCCCTTTATGGCACCGAAAATGTGGGAAATACGATCTCCAATATCCAATGATTAATAGTCCCCTTCACAGTTCCCTGCGCCATCTTAAAAGGTAGCCGTGCCTTTGTATCGAAGCGAGACGAACTGTGAGCTTGCAATGATAGAGATATGTGAATAATTGTACGAGGTGTTAAAAAAAAGGTCCCCATTATTACAAGCTCACCTTTCGTCTCGCTTCGATGTAAAGGCACGGCTACCTTTCAATATGGCGCAGGGAACTGTGAAAGCAACTATTGATAAAGTTGAAACATGTCAGTACCTCGTTTGTTGTGTGCAATAGAAGGAATTATTTTTGGTTAGCCTTACGCCTTACCTCCTCCCGAGGAAGTGAAAAAAGCGCCAACACCAAACTAAATCCTTTACCATGCACTTTGCTAACCAATAAAGTGATTTTCCTCTCCACAATGCAGGCCAGCCATCATCAGAAAGGTCCATATTATGTGACGCCAATAGAACCATAGGTAGCACCAGTCCACAATGCAAGCAGTCCCACAGCAGTCTGGCTTACTATATGTTGTTCATTGTTGGAATGTTGGTTATTGGGTCTGGGTCAATACCGATGTGGAACCTTGGAGCGGCATTTATTGATGAGAACGTTAAGGCAAAATCATCTCCGATGTATATTGGGATATTTTCATGTTCGGGAGTTATCGGTGAGTTTTGCTTTTCGTATTTTCTTATTTGAGAACTGAACTCAAGAAAATAATACTCTCAACTATTACTAATGGCGCAGACAACCATGGAAAGAATAATGTAGATAAATAAATAACGAAAAGTAAAAAAAAAACCGAAAACAAAAATTCAAAGTAATTATGTCTGCCTGAAATTTAATTTTGGATTTTTGGCGCCAAATCAGAACGTCAGGTGACACAGCGCAACCGTGACGTCATAAAAACGAAGACAAAGGCGAAATTCGGACAAACAAACTTACAAGTTTACTTTCAGCAGATAATTTTCACAGCCGATCGCAGTTGATCTTAGTTTACATGGGTTATTATTGTAACTTTAAGTAAAAATAATAAAATCGGTTCGTATAATCCTCGTAGCGGTTAAACAGAATGCAATGTTTGTCCGAATCTTTAAGCTAWTTTTAGAATCAGTGCGCTGCGCTATTCACCAGAAGAAGAAAAAAGAAAAGAAAAAAATGCTCGAGTATAAGACTTAGTATTACAAGTATAAATGTTCGCCTTCACCTCGGATTCAATATGATAATTTTTATCAATTTTTTTCTTTCAGGAGCCGGAGTCGGGTTTGTTCTCGGTGGCTTTTTCCTTTCGATGTACGTTGATGTTGGTACCCAGACCTCACTGACGCCCAAGAGTGAGGAATGGGTAGGAGCCTGGTGGCTAGGATTCATTGTGTGTACTGTGCTTGCTATTTTATGGAGTGGATGGCTTATTGGATTCCCTAAAGAGTTACCAACGACTCAAGAATTGAAGAAACAAAACTTGATTGGAAATAATAACAGTGTAAGTACTAAAGCCAATCTTAGACCCAGAGTCTTTTAGCGTTGCAGTGCCTGAAGAAACATTGTCGCCAACCCGCTGACCAAAAAGCCGGAGGACTGGGCTTGAGATTGTACTGAAGCACGAAACTTGAATGTGCACAGGGTTCCCATGAGGTGTGGTATAAATACTAATGTCACGTTTCACAATCTAGTGGCTTTCGATAAATTTGGTTGGACTTTTCTTTTCGACCTCACATGGCTTCTGCCTCGATTAGAATTAGTTATAGAATTAACTAGTGCGCTCTACTCAAAGCCTTTGCCGTACATCGCATGATCGAAGGCCCTCTCACCAGAAGCACCTATTTTTTTCTAAATATACATTCTTAAACACGGAAAACTTTCTTTTTCAGGCAATCGACCAAGAAGTTGGTTACGTTAAACTAAAAGATCTACCTAAAGCCTCCAAATCTCTTTTATCCAAGATCCCATACGTAGCAATAACACTAGGGATTTGCATCGAAGGTTTCTTGGTGTCAGCATTCACAGCATTCATGCCTAAAGTCATCCAACAACAGTTCCAATATTCGCCGTCTACAGTCAGTTTACTGATGGGCGTGGTTGTTATACCAGCAGCATTGTTAGGAAACTTTATAGGTAATGACATCATAGACTAGAAAATAATCCTTGCGTCAAGTCCTGTTTCAAATAACTCATCAGCTTGTGAAGTATGTGACGTAGGTCTGTGTGTGGGAGGAGAGAGGGGGGGGGGGGGTCTGAGTCAGAAGTTCGCTTTAGGGGTGAAAGAAATTAACAGCACTGAACTTTTTTCTAACTTTTTAAAGTTCAACGTTCATTGATACGTCATTTGTGACCGCAAAAGACCACAGGAAGCCCGCTTTAAATAAAAATCATTAAATGGAAATTTTAATTAGCCCCGTTTAAAAAAATCTTCACTTCTTTTATCCGACTCTGAATATACATCAGTTTTCTTGTCCTTTCAGGGTTTTCTGATAGACGTTTTGATTAGATAATATTGTTCGTTTCTTAGGTGCTTATATCTGCAAACGTTTAAATCTCCATCTTCGAGGAGCAGCTAAGATGGCGTACATGGTTAGTGCACTCAGTCTTCTGGCTGGCTGTTTGTTGTTCCTAAATTGCGATACACCATCCATAGCAGGCATCAATGGATCTTATGCTAATGAGTAAGTACCGACTCATGTGAGAGTTGTAACCGTAAAAGGTTACATTGTCGTACCAAGAACGTAACTTGTGTGATTTTTACTTTACAGTCCTGACGATCTAAACTATTAGCACGTGACATATGGTACACACATGGTACACTTACGCACGTGACGTATGCGCGTGACTGGATACAAGTAGTATCATAGTTAACACACATGAACATTGAATTAACCGTCGTTTTTTTTTTGTACAAAGGTCTTCTTCACAGCTGACGTCATCATGTAACGCTAAATGCGCATGTTCGACCATAGATTTTAAACCTGTTTGTTCTGGAGGCGTGACGTACTTCTCGCCATGTTACGCAGGATGTCAGACAGACTTTAAAAACGGGGTAATGAATTTTGAGATTAGATTTTACAAAAATTCTCAACCCTCTTGTACGACCGAAAACTCCCCGTAGCAGCTCTTCCTACCTTCCGCACCGTATAAATATTTACTGATAAACACAATATGCGAAATATTTCGTTAAAGGAGCGAGTACGGGAGAAGCTGGTATAAACTATAAGCCTCATTCCAAGGGAAAGAACAACGTATTAAACAAACTCAGCTAACATTTAGGTCTGCAGGAACTATTCGAACTAGCAACTTGTCTGTTTCATAAAACAAAATCAGAAAGATTCACTAAGTGACCCAATATGTACAATAAACTGATACTTCTTATTTTTCTCTCTTAGTCTCTGAGTAACTGCGCATGTCTTCCAAGTGGAAGTGACGTAACCATCGGTATTTGTAGGATTGACTGCGGGCTCAAACCGCTGTTTTACCTTATTTCATATTTCCTGGTGGTTTTCTTGACTTTCATGAGCGCAACCCCTGCAACAGTCGTAACACTAAGGTAATATACTTCTCTGTTAATCTCTTGAATATTCTAGTTAAATGTTGGGATAAAGATCTCTCTTCACGTATAAAACAAGAAAAACCATTCTCCGCTTGCAAAGTCATTCAGTCCCCGACAGCAAAGTAGTTACCAGTCTTTCTTCAAACTTCGGAAAGGCGTGCAAGATACTGATGAGTTATCCTATCTCTTTTCTTCACCTCCAGGTCCGTTTCTAATGATCAGCGGGCATACGCTCTTGGCATTCAGTCCAGCTTACTGAGGATTCTGGGTACTATTCCTGGACCTATTGTAGTTGGTACTCTGATTGACATGACGTGTACTTTATGGAATGAAGGGTAAGTAGCTTAAAGATTACTTTCGCTCGTCGAGCATGCGCAGCAAGAATAACTGGGCTCTGGTATCGAGAATGCATACGTAGCGTGGAGCAGTATGTTGTTGCGCTTCCTGTGGTCAGCGTACCACAGGAAACCCAACCATGAAATGCTAATGACAGTTTAAACGTTTTTGACTAAGAGTTGACCCTTTTCTTTCAGATGCAACGGTAGAGAAAACTGTTTACAGTATGACAACAGAAGACTTTCAACAGTCGTGCTAGTCACGGGATTACTATCCAAAATTATCATCACTACCTGTTACTTCATCTCTTGTATCTTCAGTCCCAAGGACCAATCAGATCAGAATGGCGTCGTCGGTAAACGGAAAGAGATAAAAGTTCATTGTGGAAGTTTTACAGACTGCGAAAGAGAAACTTACCTATARTTGTAGCACCATATCGGCACAGCGCCCACTCCATGGAGAATATCACTGCATGTAGAGTGGTGTAATGTGGAAGGATGGAAAGTCTATGCTTGAAAGTCGACGTCCGAATGTCACATCTTTCATAACAAAAAAGTGCTAGAGCACTCGAATAGTTAGCCTCTACCATGTACGTGCAACAAACCAAGCATTGCGCAATGTTTATTTTATAAACAAAAATACCAACAATATAAGATTGGACATTTKTATTCATGTCTTTTTATATTGTGGATAGTAAAGTCCTGCAGTACGACGCGTGCTATAATGGCCACCCGATTGACTTTCATATCTTGAACTTTTATTGAACTCTGAAACAATCTCCGAGCTAATCAAAGTTAGGGAAATATCAACTCAGATCGAATTGGAATTTAGCTTGTTCTTTTCGGAGGAAAGAAAGCAGAAGAACCTGAAGAACAACCCACGAAACGAGGGACCTTGTAACACGTGAAACAAGAACAGGAAAGTAGAGTATCTTGGCTGGAAAGACTCGACCCCCTGTTCCAATATTTGAATGTCACGAAGTTACTCAAAAGGAAGATCTCTGTTTTGGATGGCGGTGCTAGTACACGTTGTAGTCTGTAGACAATTTTTAAAGTGAAAAAAATAGAAAAAATGTTTCACAAAATACTAGAAAAATATTCACCACTTTCATATCGGAATGGAATTCTTATTGCCCATTTTATTGTATTAGAATCATGAACAACATATTCGTTTTTGATTTAAATATATATATATATATATATATTGATGATGATGATTTTTATCATGTTAATAACTTATTTTTAATTATACTCGATATCTGAACAAATAAAATGAAAAACACGAACATTTACATAATTTTTTTGTTTCTTTATTTTATTTTATTTTTTGAAAATTGTTAGTGAATTAAAGATATTAAAATTACAAAAACTTCGAGATCACAGAACAACTTTTAATTGAACATCGTTTTCCAGGAAGAAAAAAGCGTTTCCCAACATCATGCTATTTTATCGAAACCAGACACAACCCTTTGGACTGAAAAAAGTCAGGGCATGGCAAACTCACAGATTGAACCCTGAAACAACCTCTGGGCTGATCAAAGTCAGAGCAGACTGCAAAATCACAGATAAAACCCTGAAACAACCTCTGGGCTAATGACTCTAAGTTAAGGCGCGAATAATTCACAGATTGAATTGGAATTAAGCGTATTAGGTTTTGCAGAGGGAGGAAAACCGGAGAACCTGGAGAAAATCGAGGGAGGTCCAATGCCCCGCCGAAACCTAATGGGCGAGGTGAGTGCACAACCCTAACTAGAACGAATCTTGAACTTGGAATCTTGAACTACGAACATCGACGCAAGATACGCTAACATCAATACGTTTCCTGTCGAAATACCTGTAATCTAGCATTGTTAAAGTCTGTAACGACAACTGTCCCATCCACAGTTATTGCAAGATCCTGAGGCTTATCAAACTGTCCGAGCTGTGCTCCATACGAACCGAACATCGAGATCCTCCCATCGCTGGAAAATACTTGCACACGATGATTGCCCGAATCACTCACGAATAACCGATCGCGTGAATCAACAGCCAATCCTCTGGGGTCCTTGAATCGGCCTTCACCGTGTCCTTTCTCTCCTATCTTGTAAAGGAACATTCCTCCCTCGTCGAAGACCTGGACCGAATGATCATCAAAACTAGCAAAGAGTTTATTTTTGTGTCGAGTTATGAAGTAAGGAGCAACGCGTTTGCCAGAGGGATGAAAATCAGGACTTCTAAAATCCCCTTCGTAAATTCCTTTGGGGGAAAACATCTTAACGCTTCTAGAAAGGGAATCACAAACAAAGCAAGAGCCGTCGGGAAGACAACACAAACCCAGAGGTCGCTCAAGGTGTCTTTTTCCAAACGTCTGTATACATTCTCCTGAGGGATTATAGACTTTGACGACATGACTATCGCTGTCTGTGACTAGAACATTGCTATCATGGTCGAACGCCACGCCTATTGGATTGGATAATGTCGTATTAGAATTCCCATCTTCTCCTAGTCGACGCAGGATTTTCCCTTCTAAACCTAAAATATGAACTCTCTTGTTTCTGGAATCCGCTACAGCAATGACGTCATCTTCATTTACGGCTACTCCACAGGGACGACCAAAATGACCCCTGTTMAATCCCAGGATGCATAGCGGTGTCATGACGCTACTGCTGACAGATCCTATGGATGGGGTACTCAGGCTTTGCCTAAGGTATTCCATTCTTGACTTGACATATACTTGGTAAGGACTGTCGTGGATTGGCTGTCCCATTACCGTGACGTGTATTGTCAACAAATCAGGTCTTAAGGGAATGAAACTGACCTTATAATGCCCATCTTTCAAATCTTCTACCCTGGGTTGAAGAGTATTGCCTTTCTCGGATTCGATGGATACCTCAAGCCGATCGTCTTCCGAATAGCTTATGTTACTTTCGGAATCCTTGGTGACGACTTCGAAAAGCATTCGTTCTCCTGCCCCGGTCACCGCTTGTTCAAGACTATCGCTGATCACTTCTGTACAAGATGGATCTGTAAAGCTCAGCTTGATTTGTCCAAAGTCTGTACTTTCCAATACTCCAAGGATTCGATTATTGTGGTGATAGTCAACGTTTATAGACTTGTGTCTCGCTTCTTCAATCCTTTCGTTCAACAGATCATTAATCCTTCCTATTAACGAATTACGAAGATTAAGTATTTCAATGTCAATATCCCTATCGATAATCCCTTCTACGGTATCTCTTGCTTTCTCCATTTGTAGTAGCTTATCTTCATAATCCTGCTTATTAAGGAAAATTTCCTGTCTTAGGTCCAGTTGAATGCGTTCGAGTTCACTGACCATTGCCTTCTCGTGATTTCTAAGAACACGTACCAAAGCGTTGATTTTATCACGAACGCTCGTTCTCACCGCCACAATCTTCCCTACAGCACGGTTATAATCAGCTTCGGTCTTTTGGAGGACATATTTACAGGTTGATATTTTGACGTCTAGTTTATCGATGTATGAGTTGATTTCTTGCTCGCTTTCTAGTTTTGCATCGTTAAGTTTGTTTAATCTATGCAACTCGTGTATTCCTGTCTGGCATTTCTCGCAAATACACTCCCCACAGTCAACACAAAAGAACGCCAAAGGCTCAYTTTCATGAGACTTTTGAGTACAATTCCTCATTTCTTGAACAAGTTCTCTTAAATCCTTAGAACAAATATTTCGTAGTTCCAAAATTCGATGCAACCTCATGGGCTTCATGTTGTCGTGGACCTCAATGCATTCTTGACAAATAAGACACTTACAATCAAAGCAAAACGAAGTAGCCGAGGTGTGTCTGTCACAGCCAGCACACGATAATTCCACTTTATCCTGACCACAGTCAAGAACATTTTGTAAAGAGCTGATAAAATAAGGCGATGGAAGTGCTTGTAACGCGACTCTATCCTCAAAATAAAATCCATAATTACAAACAGGGCAGCGTAATTTTTCGAACAGCTTTGTCGCTCGTTGGAGCTCTTTCAAGCAGTTAAAGCAAAAGCTGTGAAAACATGGCAAGGTTTTGGGTTGTCTGTAAAGTCTTTCACAAATAGGACAAGTCAGTATTTCCTTTAAACTCTCTGCCAGAGTTGATTCAGCCATGGTTAAGACAGTAAACACTCATCTAATTGAGTTGAACGCGTAAAAGCCGGTCACCTACCTCATTTGACTGACCTCTATTAGCTTTCAATGTTGATTGGCGTTCATCCATGAAATGGCTCGTTGTTTTGAATCTAAAGTCTCTTATTTCAATTCAATCTCGTTCAAGCGAAAGGATCAGAGAAGCGTTTGTTAAAAAATAATTAATATGTAAATAGCTTTTTCTAAAAACAAAGTTTGTTCATTTGGTAGATTACGCAGGGCACCCAACGAACCGTCACGTGAACATTTCATTTTTTGGTGAGCAACAAAAACTAGTTGGCTTTGCTATCTTTTCGATCTGTTAAATAGCCACTTAAAGCAATCAACAAAATATATGATCAATGAATTGTTCGTCAATGACATTTTACATTATTTACTTAAAAAAAGATGTATGTAGATTATTAAGATTCAGTGCATAATACAGTTAATAAACGTCCTCGAATTTCTTCTAAAAAAATGACTTCTTGATCTTGTATCTATTTAGTCAACGAGATATTGTTTTCGTAAATAAGATTTTTCTTTTTTTAATGACAAAACATATGAAAAAATTTCAATCAAACACCCAAAGTTCCCATTCAGTTCCATGTATAGGAATTTATGAAGGCACAAGTCTATCCAATCAGAACCATCATCAGAAAATGATTGACAGTAGGCAGAAAAGCCATTCCAGTGTCGTACAAGAAAGACGAAGACGTACTAAAAAACATGGCGGAACAACTTCATACTTTTGCCTTCCCTTTTCATACAAAAATAAACGTGAATACAGGTGAGCTACTGCTCTAAAGTAACTGGAAGTATTTTATTTGTCTTTAGAAAAACGGACTTTACCACGGTTTTGTCAAAAATGGCAGTCCTACATCTTATTAATTGTTGCTCGAGTTAAACTTTGGCTCTCTTTTGTTCGAGAAATTAAAATCTTAAAAAAATATCCCAAATGTTTTTGAAAAATGCTTATTTAAAATAGTGTAAGCTTTCAACTAGCTGTTTTCATTTATTCTTTTGTTTTATGTAGAAAGTCCGCAAGAGGAATTTCCACTTCAAGAAATTTCTTGCCAAACTCCGCAAAACAATCAAGAAAAACAAGAAGCAAAGGATGGAGAGAGCGAAGGATTGAAAAACTCTCCTTTCCAGCTACGAAGACTTCCAGAACTAAAGAACGAACAACAAACAGAGAAAAAGCTTCCAGTAGTTAGTTCAATATTACRTTTTGTTGGGCATTTTAAAAGATTTTCGTCGAAAACACGTTTCTTAAAGCTCAACTAATGTTTTTTTTCTTCTTCTTCTTTTAAGATTATAGAGAAGAAAGAACAAAGAAAATCATTAGAGGTCTTTTCACCGCCAAAATATTTCATCTTTAATGAAGAAAGAAGCCCTGTTCATCTAAATGTTGAAGCACTTAGACCTCAAAAAGAAAAGGTAAAGAGAAAAACTTATGTAATGGCGTCAGTATTCTATGTTGAAAGAGAAAAAGGCAAAAAGGTTGCCTCGAACAACTTTAGGTGGCTCTTAAAAGTTCTTGAAAGTGTACTACGATTTCACTAACCAAATTCAGACATGCATTGTTTCTTTCTTTGTTATTTTTTCTTTTTCTCTTCTTCTTTTCTTTTTCTTTTTTTTTTTCTTTGTCGTCTTTTCCTCCCTCTTTTCTTTTCTTCCATCCTTCTTATTTGCCTTCCTTCCTTCTTTCCTTCCTTTAATCCTTCCTTTCTTATTTGTTTTTTTCTTTCATCAACTTGTTTATTTCTTATTTTTTTAAATTTGAAAAAACTATGGATGCTTTAAGAATGTTTTTTCTTTGAACTTGTCTTTATCAGACAACAGGAGTGACGTTGTTTGAAGATGACCTGATAGATGAGGATGCTAACCATTTGTTACGTTATTACCACTGAGGGGCAGCATACCACAAACTTTAATCCTATTTTTGATCAAAACTACAACATAGATACGTTCTGCTCAAACATGTATGTTACAAATGTACTGTAATTACTAAACTGATTTTTGAAAAATAATAAATCTGACAAAAAGTAACGAAGAAAATTGTTGGTTAAAAGCATTAATTTTTTGGACCATTTGCAAAATATTTGGCATTTTTTTCCTGTTTGCTATTGCTCATTTATAATTATTATCAATGCTCTATGTACATATATCTTACTGGTATAAAGGATGTTATTTTCATGGAATACCGAATAATGGAAAAGGAAAGAAATAGAGTGGATAAAAGCGCTCGTTTTTCTGCTTACCTAAAGCCTTATTTGTCTTTTTTGTTCCACGCAGTAAGCCAGCAGGTCTGAGGTTATAGGTTTTCAACAGCAAGCCCACAACCAGCATAGTATAATAGCCTACAGTCCCTAGAGTCCAGAATAAGGCATTCAAATTTATTCTACAGTGATCCCAGAGTGTAATCTATCAAACACCTTCCACCTCCATAAGCTCACTGTCATCCAGTTCTTCCAGAAGTTCATTCTCCTTTGTATTTTCCTGTTTGATGGCATTTTCTTTCTTGATGGGTCTAGGTGTTTGACTTCTTCTATCCTGAGAGCTTGAGGTGTTTCCTGTGAGAATCTTTCTGCTCTCTTCAAAGTACTGATTTGGATGGTTAAAGCCAGGCATGTCTTCTGTTGAATGAGTCAGCTCGAAATAACGGGTGCAGGCAAGTTGGTAATGAGATTCTTTCACTAAATTCATTACCTGAGAGAATAAAATTAAAAAAATTAATCTGTGACTTTGTATGTTGTTATGCATATGCTTGTGTCACAAGTGAAGACCTGGCCGAGTGACTAAAAAAAGTCAACTCCCCCCTCCCCCTTCCCCCCGCCAATGGTTTCAAATGTTGATTGAAACAAAGTACCTGATCCAGTCCTTCTTTGCCAAGTTTGTGAGTTGCCAGCCTCTGTTTGAGAAGATTAGGTTCTGTGTGTCTATATGGACACCCTGAAATAAAATTGTTATTCAAGGTTGATCTGATGCACTAGATATTTGATATCAAGTCTTTCTGCTCGATTGGTAGAGCACTCGGACTTGGGCAATTTCAATATTATTATCAATGTCATTGTCATTAATTGTCATCAATCATTCAACACTGATCATCATCGACAGCATCTGCATCATAGCCATCAACACCACTATCACCATTATAACTACCATCCCAAGCCAACATTACTTCATAACCACTACCATGATCTTCGTATCTTAATTTTTATCATCACCATTGTTACCACTGTCTCTGCATGCACCACAACCTCAAACTTTCATCATTAGCATCAACATAATAACCACACCAACACCTACAATTGCCATCATCGTCATCACTTTTCAAAATAAAAACAAATTCAATCAACTCAAATGATTACATCTTACCATGACAGTCTCCAGGCCCTGGCTGACTGGACATGATAATCTTCATACAGCTGTAAGGTGTGTAATCTGCTCGCTTGCCTTCTTTGCCATAATTATGTCGAATGTTATAAGCATACTGCTTGTCAAACTGAAGACAGGAGAGAGCACAGCATTAGACATGAAATATTATTGACTTAAACAATGTTGAGAGGTTAGATAAGGTATTCAATTAGGTATGGAAACAGTTCTCCTAGTTAAAACAAAATGCTGTATAGAATGGCCTTAGATAGAATGCTATTTGCAAACTGTACAATTAATACTTTATAGTATACCTTATCAAGTTCCATTACTTTTGAAAATTCTGACCTCCAAAATATCAAAGACTCCTCAAGCGAAATCCCAATGCCCTAAAGAGAGAAAAACACATTATATATATATTACATAGCTGCAGACCAACAATACAGCTTTATCTTGCAAAATGTTTAGTAGTATACCTTTAAGAACAAACCATATTGCATACGGCCACCATGCTTCAAGTGATGATGTTCACGGAGAGATTGATGGAGATTGCGCATGCATAAGGGAAATGATTTCCATGCAACCTGAAAACAACAATAAAATAGAATAGGTTCAAAATCTAGATAACTCACTACAATGTTTGATAGATTCTAGACATCACACTATGGTTTTTACATTCTCAAGAAATAGCAGTATGTATATTAATATTTTTGTACGTACAGCATCAATTTGATCCAAGCTTATTTTACCACCAGCAATGTTCTTCTTCTGACTATAATCTTGACCCACATACTGCCGACTGAGAAGCAAAGGTATAAGAAATATCAAAACAGAAAAATTATGACCCCAAAGAGGCTTAAAGTAAGAGACTCTCTAGCTCCAGTGGTTCTCCACAAAACTTATGACAGAGAAGCATTGGAGCTAGAGCCTCAGGAACCCAAAGTACCAAAAAGCAAAATGGTTCAAAAATATTTTTTAATCAATATTTAACCTGAGATTGGTGAGTCTTGGGAGAAGTCTTTCGTCCTCCTCAAGATATGGTAATGCTCTGGCTGTTAGCTAAAAAGAAAATTAAAACATAATTAGGGATCTATGTGATGATGCAATTTATCGTAAAAATACATTTTTGTCTGATAAAACAGACAATTGTGCTAACTTTTAAGACTAGACAACACAATTAGGGCTATTTATTGCCTAAATGTCCTATGTTCACTTACTGCTAATGCATGAGATAGGTTGGTGCGGAAAACATTGGATATGATTGAAGAAAGCTCATTCCGAGGAACATAGGCATATCCCTAAAAGCAAAGATAATTCAGTTATCAAATGTGGGTGATTAATAATAACAATAATTTGGAGGGCCATAATGCAAACTACTGGGCTACTGGTAATCTATGTCTACCCTCGTTAAATAAAGTCATATCATCATTAATAATAATAATAATAATAATAATAATAATAAAAATAAATTTTATTAATGTTTCAAATTTTATAGCTTGAGACAGGTGCATTGATAATAGGAGACATCTATTACTAATTTTATGAATTTTGAATAATGACTATGACTGATTTAATTGAAATAATACAGTCTTCATATAATTAAAAGAACACTGCCTGAGCCAAAGGAGATAGGTCATTCCAATTCCTAAACGAATTATGGGCATACATCTAAACACCAATTATTGGGTAGTTTAAAATGGCTTCATCCACTTACAAGCAATATAGCTGTATATCTCAACACTAAACTCCCTGTTCTTGACGAGAATAATAAGAAACACAAGTTATTCCAGATATGATAAGATTGGGTCTTGGAATGAATGACCTATCTCCTATCACCTATTGCCTATTGACTTTGGCTCTGACAAACCCTTTTATAGATAGGGGTAATTATAGACTTATCAACACAGATTGCAATGTATTTGTTAGTATTCAAAATCAAAATATCCCTACACTTACTCCTTCAAGATACACCTTCCTTGAACGGACTAAATCAAGAGCCTCTGTAAAAGGTACCTACAGTAACAAAAGAAAATCACGAAATATATTTTTTCAAAAGCTTTAATATAGCATTTAGTACCTGTAGTGACTGTAATTTCGAGAATTTTAATTTCAAGCATGTCAAACCTTGTAATATTGAGTTGCTTGGACTAGCTGTAGTGGAAGATTATATCCAGAGTCCTTGAGCTTTATCTCAAGACGATCCTTTTCCTCCTTACTGATCTATCACCAAAACCAAAATAACTCATTAATACATAGAGTAAATATTAAGAAATGTGGGTACCTTGAAAAGATAATCAACCTCACAATTCCTGTGATTTTTACACCTTTTTTGCAGGACACACATTGATAACAGTAATTTTATATTATCAAAGTGCATATCCTTGTAAATATAATGATAGTTATTATTATTACTATCATAATTACAATTATAATAATAATCATTATTATTTTTTATTATTATTATTTATTATTATTATTATTATTATTATTATATTATTCATTCATTCATTCCATTTAGTCATTCAATTCTTGGCATTCACCTACGTCATCAAAACTTTTCCAAAGACTTATACACAACAAAACCTCTACAAACTGAAAGAGAAACTAAAACTGAATATCTCAGCCAAAATTCTAGCTAAAGTAAGTTTTAAATATGGAGATATGAGTGACTGACTATCGTTGATTGATTATACTAATTTGGTTGAAATGTATGGGTCCACCATCTTCGTGTCCCATTGAGGGGCACAAAATATTCAACAAACAGTTTCGAGGAGTGAATACTTTGGATTTTATCATGGTTTTTTCATGATGTCACATGAAAGCCAAGAATAGATACTTTAATGTAAACTTACATCAGTGTAGGATAGGTTGTTGTGCTCAAGAAAAGAATCAATGGCTTTTGGATCAATTTCAAAGTCAAATCGAAATCTAAAATGATAAACGCAATGAAAGAGTAAGACTATTTTTGAATCCATACAATACTTTTGTGTTCCTTGATTACATACTCATATAATCAGGGTTATATAGCCTCATTTCAGTGTCAAAATATTCACAAATGATAGGGCACAACTTACTCACATATTAAACCCTGTAACAAACTCAGGGCTGATTAATGTCAGTGTATGGCTAACTCACAGCTTCAACCCTGAAACAATCTCTGGACTGATCTAAGTCAGTGCCCCGGGCGGGGGGGGGGGACTCCCTTGTAGAAGGGGGCGGGGGTCCTTGTCGGAAATTCCGAAAAAGACCCCTAAAAGGGACCTGTATTTTAGGATGATGGGAGTGGCAGTGATGAAATTTCACCCCTAAGAGGGACCAATCAATGTTTGAAAAAAAGGAATTACAATGGCTAAGAACCTAGCTTGCAGACTAGGTGCAATAAAGAAGCTTAAGGTACGTATATAGAAGCCTGTCGTTGATCTTATACCCTAAAAGGGACCACAAAATTCAGTTGGTGTGCAATCTGGCCGTTATCACCCTAAGCGGGACCAAAACCTTGATTTCAAACCCTAAAAGGGATGACGAGGACCCGCGCCCCCTTTCCTAAGGGAGTCCCCCCGGGGTCAGTGCACTGTTAAGTCACTGAACAAACCCTGAAACGACCTCCGGGCTGATTTAAGTCTCTGGGCATGGCTAACTCACAGATCCAACCCTGAAACAACCTCTTGGCTGATTTAAGTCTCGGCACAGCTAACTCACAGATCAAGTGGTCCTTGAAACAATCTCTCGGCTGATCTATTAGTTATGGCATGGCTAACTCACAGATCAAAGTGGAATTCTAGTTGAGTTTTGCCTGTTTGTGTTACCTGAATAGTTCTGTTTCTTGGGTTAAAAACCACCTTCGTAGCTCTTCCCTAAATGGTTAATTAAATGAAAAATTAATTCTAAGTGCAGAAAATGCCCAAAACATTTATATGTGCTTGAGTCCTACATCACGAAGTCGAGGAACACCAAGGATCTTAAAAGTAGGGAAAAGGGATTTAAGAGTTGAAATTTTTTTTTTTATATAACTAAATCAAATTTAGTAATAAAAAAGCATTAAACCTTGACTGCCTGTGATCATTAGTCTGAGGCCACGTCCACACTATGCCGGATGAATTTGAATCCGAATTTTTATTTATTCGGTTAGGCCTACCATCCACACTAGTCGGGCGAATCCGGAACAATTCTTCACCGAAACGAATTTTCAAAATGGAACAGAATAAATAAATATTCGGATTCAAATTTATCTGGCATAGTGTGGACGGGGCCTGAGTGACTGTACAACTTACGATCTACAATATGCCAGTCGTAGGATAAAGTGAGATATGTGATCTTTTCTTCTTTCATTATGTATTTCATTACTCTTCTTTTTAATGTTTTCTTCTCCCTGAAAATGAGTTGATTAAGTTTAGATTGATGTCAAAATGTGATTGCACATAGTTGAAACTTGAGGAGGTTGGGGTTCTGAGAAGAATTCCATCCCACAGGCTTGCATTTATAATACATACATAAATCCATGCAAAATATACTTACTGTAGCTTTGTAATTTACACCAACGAGTTCCTTTAATGCCTTCATAGTATTCTTTTTGTACTCATCGCTATCTTTCTTGTACCTGATGGAATTTGTCTCGATTTCTCGAAGGACTAAAAGTGAAACAACATCTCCAAGTTAATCAATCTCACCTAATAACTACGTATACTGTATTTAGTTAAACTTAATGCTTTTCAGTAACCGATTCCCATGGTGAACGTATGTATTTTGTACCTTTAAGTCTTTCTACAGCAAATTCTTCAAACTCTTCCAGCGATATATTATCAGTTGGAGGCAGTCTATACATCTGCAGTCGATCTGGGTATCTCTTGAAGTCAGGGACAACCGACAATACGACTGGCTGCTTCAACCTTTTTGGTACATCACTTTGCATCTTAAAGCAATGTAGACTATCTAATACTTATTCTCTTCAAAAAATATATTGCTACAGAAAAAATTCTGCGATTTTTTTGCAAAAATAAACGAGAAATCGAAAATCGAGATTTCTTCTTCTTCGACTCGCGATTTTCGCGCCAAATTTCAAGCGATGTAACCAAGCCTTTTGAATCAAATCACCTCCCGTCCCTCCCGCCCCCAAGAGAAAAGGTTTGATTTCTCGGGCTTTATTGCCGTTATTTTATTTTATTTCATTTTTGTTTTAATTTTTCATTCCTATYCTTATTAGATTCATAGTTACATATGTTAACAGAAGTAAATGAATCCGATAAACGGACAACCGCAGTTGTAGACCACAGGAAGCCCAAGCTCTGTTTTTATTTCAGAATAACATATCATTAATATTTGGTTTAAAGAAATTTTCTATTTAAAAGGAAACAAAGCTCATAATRCGTCTTGTCTTGATACCATTATGTTTTTATCTGGGCAAAAGGGTTAAGGATTTAAAATCGTATGCTTTTGTTAAGTAAAACTGTTGTCTACAGCCACTCCTCAAAACCAACGTTACACCACTGAAGCAAACTGTCAGTGGTAGTAATATCAGTAATAGTGCATCAACTAATGAAGCATCCCTCATTTTTTCTTTCCTCACTTCACTAAAATATATCCAAAAGTTTTTATTTCATGTTGTCCCACAATAACGTTCCCACTGGACGCTATAATACTCGATCCAAAACCAATGAACGATTTAGGGGCATTACATGGCTTACCGCTTCCTATTAATCCTAATCTTATCTTAAGTACAGAGCCTGGCTTCCCGGTGACACGATTGATGCCTTCTACGGAACAAACTTCTTGTACAGACGATCCTTTGATCAGGTTTTTCCAAGAAGACTTCCCAAGATTAGTCCCATAAGGCTTCCCGCTTGCGAAAAGAGAGCGAAGAGAATTTACGTTAAGTTGAATTTGTAGCCAGCGCGTCTCGTTTCCTTGCTTCATTCCAATGCAGATTTTACTTGCTTTAATTTCAGAGAATATGGGAGATTTMATTTCTTCGTCATCTAGACTCGCCATGTTTGTCGGGTAGTTCAGAGTTTGTGTGTTAGTCCAGTAAGACGACTCGAATGTAAACGTTGACTGTATATAGAAAATGAAGACTTGGGTCATCAAATTTGTTCTTTATATTGCTATATTATTGATTTTATTGGTCATATGAATACAGTGGCTAGCTTTTGCTATTTTCCTCTTTCATTTCTCACCTCTCAGGGAGCTCCCTCCCTCCCTGAGACATCCTTCCTTGCCACTGTCAAGTGCAGTGTGTTTTGGGTAGAGCAGATGGGAGGGGAGGGAGGCATAATTTGTCGAAATGACGTGGGAATGAACCGTACCCAAACGGAAAATCCTGGACGACACACATCTGCCTCTTGTATAATTGCTATACACATATTTCAAAAAACGTTGTCGGTCAGAGATTTGAAATCTGAAATCTGAGAAAGTAACACCCTTCAAAATGTAATATATTCGTTCAATGCCGAACAACGTAGTTTCCCTTTTATATGGAATATCAAGGGCGGTTCAAGGG